AATGGAGGGGGGAGAGAAAGATAGATACAAATTATAAATTCTATAATAAATATATAAAATTCATAAATATATATATAAATTCCCATATCAGATAGGAAATCAGATCCAATTTTTCTGAGTAACTTTTGTTTTTCACTTTATTAATACAGAAAGTATATGAAAGTTAGTGGTAGAATCAAGCCAGTGAATTTATGATTTTAAAAGGTTTTTTTTTTTTCCCCCCCGTAATTAGCCATTAGCAACTCATGCTGTCTTTGTTTCTGTATGTGCTTCTTTCTGTCTCTGTGAATGTATTTTTTTCTCTGGCTCTAAGTATATCTGCATCTCTGTTTCTGATTCCTTCACTCCCAGTCTGGCACTCTATCTCTGGCTCTGACTCTATACATGTGTACATCTGTGGTGCTCTTTGTGTGTCGTCTGCCATGTGCATTTGTCTGTGACTTTGGGGAGGGTCTCCCAACAACATTTTACTTTACTTTTTTTTTTTTGAGATGGAGTTTTACTGTGACACCAAGTCTGGAGTGCAGTGGCACAGTCTGGGTTCACTACAACCTCTGCTTCCTGGGTTCAAACGATTCTCCTGCCTCAGCCTCCTGAGTAGCTGGGACTACAGGGACATGCAACCATGCCTGGCTAATTTTGTTGTTTTTAAGATATTAATTAACTAAATATGATGTTTTGATAATTTATACCTAGGCAGCAAGTCTGATTTTGATAACATTCAAATACATGTCAGCCGCTTACAGATAGACTCTTTGAGAAATTAACACTTTGCCTTTTATGACTTCATATACCTATGTAATGAATAACATTGACACGTTTCTGGTTTTGGTTCTTAGGATACTACATTGTTCTTCATTGCACACTTATGAATTATCACTTTTATGAATTATTACAGATAATTTCTTAACATTAAACTTCACTTTTATAGAATGCTAGCAACTTGAGATAGTTTTTGTTGTTTTCACGGCCAGAATTTAGTGGTAGTCATATGTGCAAAAACTTGACTGAAAGGAAGATAAGGGAAAAAACTATAAGCCTTATGTAGTCTGTTAGTGAGATAGATTTTTTAATTCATACTTCAAGTGTTCTTGTTTAGCAATATGCTAGATACTATCAGGGGTGTAATGATGGAAAAAGAGGTATCATTTCACTCTAAGTTAATACAAAGGTTATTTGTTTCACTCATACAGTGTTGACAGACATACGGTATATAAGTATCCTATGAGTGAAACATGTAACTTTTATAATATATGAGTTAGGAGTGAAGAACTTGAGAAATGAGGGAAAGCAACATGAAGGAAAGGATGTAAGAGTTGTCTTTAATGCAGTGGTCCCAAACCTTACTCATACCAGTGACCAATTTTGTGCAAGACAGTTTTTCCATGGATGGACAGGGGATGGCTTTGGGATGATTCAAGGGCATTACATTTATTGTATACTTTATTTCTATTATTATTACATTATAATATATAATGAAATAATTCTATAACTCACCATAATGTAGAATCAGTGGGACCCCTGAACTTGTTAATCTATATTTGCAGCAACTCCTAGCCCTATATCATTGCCTTGGCTCCGTCTCAGATCATCAGGCATTAGATTCTCATAAGGAGAATGCAGCCTAGATCCCTTGGATGCGTAGTTCACAATAGTGTTCACCCTCCTATAAGAATCTGATGTCATCAGGAAGTAGAGCTCAGGCAGTAATGTGAGTGATGGGGAATGGCTGTAAATACAGATGAAACTTTGCTGGCTCACCTCCTGCTGTGCAGCCCAGTTCTGACAGGATATAAAGCAGTACCAGTCTGTGGCCCAGTGGGTGGGGACCCCTGCTTTAATGGATGGTGTATCAGTCCATTCTTGCACTTCTCTAAAGAAATACCTGAGACTGGGTAATTTATAAAGAAAAGGGGTTTAATTGGCTTATGGTTCTGCAGGCTGTACAGGAAGCATGATGCTGGCATCTGCTCAGCTTTGGGGAGTCCTCAGGAAACTTTCAATTATGGTGGAAGGTGAAGGGAAAGCAGGCACACCGTACATGGCCAGAGCAGGAGAGAGGTGGTGAGAGGAGAGCTGCTGCACATTTAATCAGATGTCACTTACTGTGGTGACACAGCACCAAGGGGGAAACCCACCCCCATGATTCAGTTACCTCTCACCAGGCCCCACCTTCAACTGTAATTGGGTATCACAGTTCAACATGAAATTTGGGAGGGGACACAGATCCAAACCATATCATTTCACCCCTGGCCCCTCCCAAATCTCATGTCCTTCTCACATTGCAAAATTCAGTCATGCCTTCCCAACAGTCCCCGTAAATCTTAACTCATTCCAGCATTAACCCAAAAGATAAAGTCCAAAGTCTCATCTGAGACAAGGCCAAGTCTCTTCCACCTATGAGCCTATAAAATAAAAGACAACAAGGTATAGACATTGAGTAAATACTTCTGTTTCAAAAGGGAGAAATTGGCCAAAAGAAAGGGGCTACAGGCCTCGTGCAAGTCCTGAAACCCAGCAGGGCAGTCGTTATATCTTAAAGTTCCAAAATAATCCCCTTTGACTCCATGCCCCACATCCAGGACACTCTCATGCAAGAGGTGGGCTCCTAGTGCCTTAGGTAGCCCCACCCCCTGTGGCTATGCAGGGTTCAGCCCCTGTGGCTGCTCTCAAGGGCTGGTATTGAGTGCTGGAGCTTGAGGCTATTCCAGGTACAATGGTGCTTGAGTGCTTGAGCTTGAGGCTATTCCAGGTGCATGGTGCAAGCTTTTGGTGGATCTACCATTTCAGAGTCTGGAGGACAATGGCCTTCTTCTCATAGCTCCACTAGGTAGTGCCCCAGAGGAGACTCAGTGTGGGGGCACTAACCCCACATTTCCCCACATTACCTTTTCCAAACCTTTATGGTTTGGAAAATTTGCAGTCTGGTCATGTGGTAGAAAAGAAAAGCCAATTGTCAGGGAAGGAGTTCAAGCAGGCTGCAGAAATTTGCATAAATAAAATGAAAGAATCAACTGCTAATAACCAAGACAATGGGGAAAAGTCCTAGAAGGCATTTCAGAGAAACTCATGGCAGCTCCTCCCATCACAGGCCTGGAAGCCTAGGAGGACTGAATGGTTTCCTGGGCCAGGTCCGGGGCCTGCTGCTCTGCACAGCCTCAGGATACTGCTCACTGCTCCCCAGCCACCCCAACTCCAGCTGTGGCTCAAAGGGGCCCAGGTACAGCTTGAGCCACTATTTCAAGGGTGCCAGCCATAAGACTTCTGTGTGGTGTTAAGCCTGCCAGTACACAGAATGCAAGACTTGTGGCTTGGGAGCTTCCACCTAGATTTTGGAGGATGTATGGAAACACCTGGATATTCAGGAAGAAGCCTGCTATAGGGATGGAACCCTCATGGAGAATCTCTCTACTAGGGGAGACACTTCCACATTGTTAGATATCTTTATAGCAATGCCTCATTCCTCAGTACCAATTTTCTGTATTAGTCCATTGTTGTAATCCTATAAATAAATACCTGAGACTGGGTAATTTATAAAGAAAAGAGGCTTAATTGGCTCATGGTTCTGCAGGCTGTACAGGAAGCATGATGCTGGCATCTGCTCAGCTTCTGGGGAGGCCTCAGGAAACTTTCAGTCATATCAAATGTATAGGAAAGAGTTCAGTGGTAAGTAATGAGCAAGGCAAGGGTATTTTAAGGAGAGGAAATGTCTTTGCCAGTAGAGAGACGTTTAGAAATTGTAAATAAGTAGTGCAGTTTGACCAGAGCATGAAGTACTTGAGGGCACTGTCTTAGGATTCCAGACTGAAGAGATAGGTAGACATTGAGAGCTCTTGAAAGCAGTTTAGCTAAGGAATGAATATGATAAAAGAATATATAAAAATTACAGAAAGGTTAATATGACTCTAGCATTCAGGATGAGAGACCATTACGTGGCTGTTAGACCAAAATTTGAGACAGTGGCATCGAGGAATTCAGAAGTAATCAAGGATGAGCTGGATAATTCTGTCAGATCCTGGAGAGACTAGAAAAAATGATTTGAGTAAATACTACTGGTTTTGATATTTCAACATTCTGGGAAAGCAAATTTAATCAGATTGAAAGCAGAAACAGATTTTAAACACTAAAAATGGTAAGGTGATAAAGGAAAGAAAGACACTGGGCAAGATCATTCTTTTTTCTTTTTTTATTCTTTTTGAGATGGAGTTTCACTGTGTCACCCAGGCTGGAGTGCAGTGGCACCATCTCGGCTCACTGCAATCTCTGCCTCCCTGTTCAAGCAGTTCTTCTGCCTCAGTCTCCTGAGTAGCTGGGATTACAGTTGCACGCCACCATACCCAGCTAATTTTCATGTTTTTAGTAGAGACAGGGTTTCAATCTGTTGGCCAGGCTCCTCTTGAACTTCCGACCTCAAGCAATCTGCCCACCTTGGCTTCCCAAAGTGCTGGGATTACAGTCATGAGCCAACACGCCTGGCCTGTTTTTTTTTGTTTTTTTTTGTTTTTTTTTTGTTTTTTTTTTTTTTTAATTTAAAAAATTTCTTCTTCATTTTTCTTTTTTAACCACTCAGGGCATAGATTATTTATGAAAAATTTGGTGGTCAAAAGTCTACTAAACAAGGGTTATTGGAATTGATGAGAGGGACTTATTTTTGAAAATAGGCAAAACATCTCATTTACTGGAAGCAGAAAGGAAAAAAGATATGGGAAGATAGAAATATTTAGGTAAAGAAGCAGATTGGGAGAATTTCACTCATGGCAGGTTTTCTGTGAAACTGAGGTAAAAGGTGGAAACAGTGAATGCTTTTTCTCAGCCCTTAGTTTGGTTTTATATTATCTCTCTCATGAGGATATTTACTTGTTTCTATTTTTCTTACATAGAAATGAATACAATGTGATAATATTAAGTGTTTATATGTATACTTAGATTCTATAGCTGTGGATTAATCTTTTATTCTTTGGATTTCTACATTTCTGAGCCCAGAATCTGTGTACTTTTGTTAACAAAAGCTCTTTAATATACAAAGTACCTTTTTATTCATCTCTTTACCAGTATGTGGGTATTATTTGAGCTTAGGAAATGAGAAATGATTCTGATTTTTGTCATCTTTTTTTTGTAGTACCTGTCTGGGTTTTCACTGTAATTTTGTAACTCTGATGGACCTAAAGTAGACCATATTAGATGCAAGAGTAATTTGCTAAGGAGGAAATATGGTAAAACGCTAAGGAATTGCTGTTTGTTGCTGTTATATTGTGCAACAGTTTTCTCCCTTTGTGATTTATAAATCTCCATGACACTTTGATGCAATATTTAAGACCTGAGGTAAAGTAAAATTGACAATATATATCAATGAGTAACATCTAGAGGACATTGTTTATATTGATCTTTTTTCATCTTTACATTTCTTACTTTCTACAACATTTGAAGATTGTTTTCTAAAATGCTCATTCATCTCTTTATTTCAGTAAACCATGAGCATTTGCTTTGTGTCAGAAAGCACACAGTGTAGATGTAACTTTGCTCTAAGCCTGTCTCTGTCTCTCTCTGTGTAGATGAAGAGACTATTGATTATCAATTCTGTAAAAAATGAGTCCAAATATATAATTCTGAGTAAATTTTCAGAAGTAAACTTCTTATTTATCCAAAACTGTTCCTAAAGCATGGTTTTTAAAATAATTATAGCATTTCAAAAACCATTTTTTCCAACAGGTGGGAAGGAGAAACCAAAAACAAATGTAGAAGACTTACAAATTAAAAAGGTAAAGAAGAAAAAGAAAAAGAAACACAAAGAAAATGAAAAACGGAAGCGCCCAAAAATGTATAGCAAATCTATTCAGACCATCTGTTCAGGATTGCTAATTGATGTTGAAGATCAAGAAGCCAAAGGCATTCTAAATGATAACATGAAAGATTATGTTGGCAAGAATTTGGATACCAAGAACTATGATCCCAAAATTCCAGAGAACAGTGAGTTTCCATTTGTCTCATTAAAGGAGCCACGAGTTCAGAATAACCTCAAAAGGTTGGACACTTTGGAATTTAAACAGCTCATTCATATAGAGCACCAGCCTAATGGAGGTGCATCAGTCATTCATGCCTACAGTAATGAACTCTCCCATCTGTCTCCTATGGAGATGGAGAGGTTTGCAGAAGAGTTTGTGGGTCTAGTGTTCAGTGAAAATGAAAACTCTGCAGCTTTCTATGTGATGGGTATTGTTCATGGGGCAGCTACTTATTTACCTGACTTTTTAGACTATTTTTCATTTAATTTTCCCAATTCTCCAGTGAAAATGGAGATATTGGGAAAGAAAGATATAGAGACAACGACTATGTCCAATTTTCATGCTCAGGTAAGAGGTTTTTAGTTTTATTTTATAAAATAACTTTTAATGATATATTTTTAAGATGAGTTTCTGTTCTTTTTTCCTGGTTTGAAATAAAAAGGTAAGAATATAATGAAACCATTTGGGAGTACTAAGAGTAAATTACTTTCTTGATGTGAGAATCAAGATTTAAAATTCAGTTTCCACTTACGTGTGTTTTTTTCTTAAAGATAATGAAATAATTAAGATTCTGTTGTCCTTTTTTTTTTTTTTTTTTTTTTTGCAAGGAGAGATCTTAAACCTAAGAAGGTGAATTGCACCGTGTATTCTCCAGTCCTTAAATAGTTGTCTTACCTGAAAATCACCTAAAATTGTCTTCCACCTTTATAATGTTTTAAGATACGTAGCACTAGGCGCATCACATGCTAGATACTGAATAAATGTTGGCCATTAAAAATATTGTGGTTACAGGCTGGGCATGGTGGCTCCTGCCTATAATCCCAGCACTTCAGGAGGCCAAGGCAGGCGGATCACCTGAAGTTGAGAGTTCAAGATCAGCCTGACCAACATGGAGAAACCCTGTTTCTACTAAAAATACAAAATTAGCCGGGTGTGGTGGCACATTCCTGTAATCCCAGCTACCTGGGAGGCTAAGGCAGGAGAATCGCTAGAACCTGGGAGTCAGAGGTTGTGGTGAGCTGATATCACGCCATTGCACTCCAGCCTGGGCAACAAGAGCAAAACTCCCATCTCAAAAAATAAAAAATAAAAAATGAATAAAATAATACTGTGGTACAAAGGAGTCATCAGTTATTGTGTAATGATGTGTAAAAAGTAGCAATCAGTATATATCTTGAGCTAATTTCCATTTCCTGCCCTTCTCTGTGGTGAATATGCATTATTCTAGAAAGGAGACAGAATAGAGTCTGCTGGTTCTTGAACATCTGTGCGGGTCCATCTGAAAGGCTGGTGCCATTGTTATCCATCCTCAGATTGGGACTGTTTACGCTAGGAGTTTGGCCAGTTCTCATATTTATTGATGCTGTAGTTTTTGGTTTTCTAGAAACAGTTTTGGTTTTTGGTTTTCTAGAAACAGTTTTGGTTTCTAGGACAACATTCTAGTTTGGAAGGAGGAAAAAAGTAAAGGAAGTCTCAAATGGAGCTTAGTGATTATTTATCCCAACGTTTCTCAATTTACAAACAAGTTAACAGTCATAGAAAGAGAGGAGTAACTTAGTGTTTAAAGTTGTCAGCAGTATCAGGATTAGAATGAAGTCTTAATCTTCATCCAGGGCTGCTTTCCTTATTCTGAATACATTTCTTTTTTGATGGGTGCTCAAATTACAGCTTCCACTTTAAATGGTAGTCTGGATGTTCGGTCATATCCACACATGAGTCTGCCCCCAGTAGTATGTTTGGTGTATAATGTGTAGTATACTGTGGTCGGGAAAATAATTTTTTTTTTTTTTGAGCTGGAGTCTCGCTCTTTTGCCCAGGCTGAAGTGCAGTGGTGCAATTTCAGCTCACCGCAACTTTCAGGGAATTCCAGGTTCAAGCGATTCTCCTGCTTCAGCCTCCCCAGTAGCTGGGATTATAGACGTGTACCACCACACCTGGCTATTTTTATTATTATTATTTTTTTTAGTAGAGACAAGGTTTCTCCATGTTGGTCAGGGTGATCTTGAACTCCTGACTTCAAATGATCTGCCTGCCTCAGCCTTCCAAAGTGCTGGGATTACAGGCGTAAGCCACCATGCCCAGCCTGGAAAATAATTATTAGTGTGCATGTGGGGGGAAATTATTCTCTAACATAACACGTTTTAGAATTGAAATTTAAATATTTTTAAAGTGAATAGGGAGCTGTAGAGCATCCATTACGAGCCCTGTCATTTTACAGAATCCCAAAATGGTGAGTTACTTGTCTGAGGTTACACCTGCGTTTAATGGCAGAATCAGGACTGGCATCTAATAATAGTGTTTACTGTTTATTGAGTACTGATTGTGCTAAGGACTAGTTCTAAGTATTTTATATGTAGCAAGGCATTTAATCCTCATTATGATCTTATTTAGCCATGAAGAAACATCCAGTGAGAGAAGAAATAACATGTGCTCAAAGTCCCTTATCACTTTATCGTTAATTTGTCATTTATTGTATATCTCCTAAATGCCAGGTTTTATAGTGGGGCTCTTGGCTCCCATTCCCAGTTCACAGTATCACAAACTATCTTGCTTTGATACAATGCAAGTTTGCTTCAGTAATCTTTTAAACAGTGCACTCATGCGCATCACATTACATGCTTTTCAAATGGTTTTTCAGATAAGGTTAGGAATTATTTTATGCTAAATGATAAAAATATTCATCTAAACTGTGTAATACGTACACCATGAAAATCGTTTTTATTACTAAATAAAATGAGGTGCTGGACTTGCTAATCATGGCAGTGTGTGCCTGGGCTGTGGATCTCAAGTCCTTGATGAGCCACCAACCCTGGTTGTCACCATCTCTTCAGGCTTCTTGGGTAGTGCATATTGCAAAGAGGAAATTCCAGGCAGATGTACCTCTTTGTTACCAGCTGTGGTTCTAGCCCCATGTCTTTGTAATTTGTTACCTGGTGACCTAAGCATGTCAGCTGCACAGACTGGTTTTGCTTCTTTAGCTTTAGACTTCAAGGCAAGAAACTGCATGTACAACGGCCATATTCCCTTTATTGCAAGAGCCTTCAGATCTTATTCCTGTGAGTGGGGAAGTTGCTGTCTGCAGCAGATTGGAAGATAGCCTTCGGTTTGTCCTTAGGCACTGGCTTTATGAAACTGAATGGGATCCAGAAGAGACAGCAGTAGGAGAAAAATGAGCATGCTTATTCTTGCACAGTTCTATTTCTTATCCTTTGAGTCCTCCCAGTAAAAGCTCTGTCTCTTAGCCGACATTGAGGTGTCCCTCCAGGAGTTGATTTTATTTAGTAAACTTTTTACTGAAATATAATCTATACACAGAATACATAATATACATATTATAAATGTATAGCTTGATGAATCTTCACAGAGAACACACCATGGTTTAAAAAAGCCAAATATTATTAGTAGCCAGAAACCTTCCCCAAAACCTTTTTTATCAATACTGTACCAACCCACCAATCCCACCACATGTGCAAATACCCAGGAGATCACTGTCCTGACCTTGAACACCACTGATATATTTTGTGCTTCTTTTTGAACTTTAATGGAATCAGATAGTACGTACATGTTGTGTCTGGTCTCTTTCCTGTAGTACAATGTTTGTGAGATTCACCCATCTTGTATGTAGTGGTACTGCTGTATGGTATTCCATTGTGTTAATATACCACAGTTTGTTGTTTATCTTGTTACCATATAGATGGACATTTGAGTTGTTTCCAGTTTGAGACTGTTAGAACAGGGGTGCTATGAATATTTTTCACGTGTCTTGATGAGTATATACCTAATATTAGGATTTCAGGATCAAAACATATGCAGATACTCAGTTTTGCCAGATACTGCCAGTGTTCCAAAGTTATTGTGCTGATTTACATTCCCACTAGCAGTGTTCCACATCCTTTGCTATGTTTAGTAGTGTCTTTTTCATTTAAGTCATTCTGGTGATTATGTAGTGGTAGCTCCCTGTGGTTTAATTTGTATTTCCCTGATATCTAAGGATGTCAAGTACTTTTCTGTATGATTGTTATTTGGTTGAATTTCCAGTTTTGTAAAGAATCTGTCCACTCTATCCATTTCTTATTTGTTTTTTCTAGTTGATTTGTTGGACTATTATATATGTAGATAAGAATCTTTTGTCACCTAACTATTGCAAATATTTCTTCTCACTTGGGTGTCTTACTATTTATTTAACTCTTAGGTATCTTTTGATGACTAGAAGTTCCTAAGTTTAATGCAATCTAATTTATAGTTTGTAAGCCATTTATGATTACTGTTTCTTTCTTTTCTTTTTTTTTTTTTCTTTTTTTTTCTTGAGACAGAGTCTCACTCTGTTGCCCAGGCTGGAGTGCAGTGGTGTGATCTTGGCTCACTGCAACCTCCGCCTCCCAGGTTCAAGCGATTCTGCCTCAGCCTCTCAAGTAGCTGGGACTACAGATGTGCACCACCATGCCTGGCTAATTTTTGTATATTTAGTAGAAACGGGGTTTCACCATATTGGTCAGGCTAGTCTTGAACTAACTTTGTGATCAACCCGCCTTGGCCTCCCAAAGTGCTGGGATTACAGAGGTGAGCCACTGCACCCAGCCTATGATTACTGTTTCTTATGTTCTGTTGTGGAAATCTTTGCCTACCACAAAGTCCTTAATATATTCTGTGAAGTTTTATTCTGGAAACTTTATTGTTTTACCTTTCATGGTTAAATCTATAGTTAATAAAACAGCTAAAAATATTGGAAAAATAGTTTATAGTTCTGGAATTGATCTTTGTCTATGGCATGTGGTAAAGATCAAGGTTCATATTTTTGTGTATAAATATCCAAAGGACCAAGCAGCATTTGTGGGAAATATATATCTCTTCCTCATTGCATTGTAGTGTCACCTTAGTCATAAAACAGCTAATCATATGCACGGGTCTGTTTCTGGGCTCTCTCCGATTCCATTGTTTTGTTTGTCTAATTGTTATAGCTTTATAATAACTCGATTGATTGATAGATATAGGGTCTTGCTTTATCACTAGAGTGCTGTGGTACAATCATAGTGCTCTGTAGCCTCAAATTCCTGGGCTCAAGTGATCCTTCCACATCAGTCTCCTGGTAGCTGGGACTACAGGTGTGAGCCACTGTGCCCAGTCTAGAATCAGTTTGCCAGCTTTGTTCTTCAAGATTTCCTTGGCTCTTTACATTTCCATATAAACTTTTTAGAATCAGCTTTTCACATTTCACAGAATTATCTGCTAGAATATTCCTTGGTATTACAAGAATCATAGAATCAGCTACATAATTTGTTATCTTTTAGTTACTACAGAATTTAAAGCAAACTATTTTGGTTGCCCTGATTATAATTTAAGAACAAAAGATGTCAAGTACAAAACTTTTCTCTACATTTCTGCTTTCCTCTGCTCTGTAGAAAGCACTATCTTGAACTGAACCTACTGAACTTAGTCAAGGTGGTCCTCGACTCAGATGGTTCGACTCATAATTTTTTGACTTTACAATGGGTTTATCAGGTTGAAACCCCATAGTTAAATCGAGCAGCATCTGGACTTAAGATGGTTCAGCTTACTTACAATTTTTTTTTAGTGGGCTTATCAGAGTTATTTATTTATTTATTTGTTTGTTTGAGACAAGAGTCTCTGTCACCCAAGGTGGAGAGCAGTGGCACAATCTCAGCTTCACTGCAACCACTGCCTCCCAGATTTCAGTGATTCTCAAGGGATTACAGGTGCCTGCCACCACGCCTGGCTCATTTTTGTATTTTTAGTAGAGACAGGGTTTCACCACGTTAGCCAGGCTGGTCTCGAACTCCTGACCTCAGGTGATCTGCCTGCCTCGACCTCCCACAGTGCTAGGATTACAGGCATGAGCCACCACACCCGGCTGCTTATCAGAATTTTAAATGCAGTTGTTTTCTAACCATGCTTCTCCCACTTCCAAACTCTAAATCTTATTTTTATTTTATCCTGGTTCTAAGTTATTCCTCAGGTAACTTATGTCAAAGTATTAACTGATGATGATGAAGGGTCTATTATTTTAATAATGAAACTTACTAAATCTGATCTGATCTGTTAGACCTGCTTCACTAGAATGGGGCAGAATGCTAGCACTTGTTGAATTCATGCTGGGGTCATTCACTGTGTTAGGCTAGTAATAGCAATTTGATGTTTCATCTTTGAAACATTGCTTGCCTTTCTACTAAATTTTCATTTTGACCAATTGTGCCTGCCCCATCCTTCTCAAATACTTTTGAACTGATCTGTACAAAATATCACAGCAGAGACCACATGCTCTAATAATAAGAAAAGTTTTCCCCCATTATTGTACTACTTTAAAATGGGTAATTTTTGTTCTTATTTTGGTTGCAGTTATATGGGTATTTTTGAAATGTTGATTAAGTATCATTCCCTATTTTGATTAGAAAATATATGCCAGATATGATGGGTAATGGCTCCCCCTTGTGACACAGTCATTTATGTCATGTTTAGATTGCCTCAGAATGTCCTGGAGGCCTTGTTTTTAAAAATAAGGGACTCTTGCCGGGCGTGGTGGCTCACGCCTGTAATCCCAGCACTTTGGGAGGCCGAGGCGGGTGGATCACGAGATCAAGAGATCGAGACCATCCTGGTCAACACGGTGAAACCCCGTCTATACTAAAAATACAAAACATTAGCTGGGCATGGTGGCGCGTGCCTGTAATCCCAGCTA